TCAGCACGTAGTAAAAATATTTCTCCAATTTCATCAAAGAACACTGCATTAAAATTAAGTTACTCCTAAAATTTACAACAAACCATTTCCCTAGGTCATGTGACTGTTGAACATAAATGTATTTCTCACTGCAAGGAAGATACTCTTAAGATAACAACAGAACATAACTCATCTCTGTCTGCCCCAGATTTTATTGTGAATTAAGTGGCAAAATGTTACATGCTTTGTTTTATGTTAATCTTCATATTTTATACCTTATTCAAATAGCAATGGTCACCTTGTTGAGAGAGAGAGAGAGAGGGGGCTTTTCAGTTGAATCATCTAGACATGCTGACTTTATTTCAGTCAAATTTGAATGGACTTTAGCTTGTTTCTTTCAGCTTGCTCCAACACATCTAATATCATACACAACACTCACTGCATGCAAGCAGGCAAAGCTTTGCAAAGAGGAACTGATATAATGAAGGCAAATAGAATGTGTTTAACGTAGCAGAACACCAGGATAGAGTAGCCTCAAATTAGTGAGAGTTAGAAGATGTGTTTGGACTAAGATTTGTTAGAGGGAAAACAGAAAAAAATATGAAAGACTCTGAAGTGGAAAAAATTACCATTCATTTATTTGTTAACTAATTCACAAATTGTGGCTGCTCAGCATCTGCAGAGATGGATGCTCTGACAGACTATCGTCATATTTCTGAGTCTCACTACTGTCAGAGAATACAAATTAAGACCTCTCTTGAACAAAACAAACTGTGTCATCCTTCCTACCCTATTGTACAGACCAGAATGTTGTTCCACATGGTCTTTTGCATTGCCATTTGCACACATCACTAAGGGGTTGTACTCTTATTAATTAGAGGTGAGTGGGCTATATCTGTACAACTTACAGATTCTGATTTGTACTCTGAAGTTGCATTATGAAAAAAAAACTGATGTATCATCTGTCCCTTTTATTTATGTGTCTCTACCACATCTTTCAGTTTCTGTAGCAGACACAGACCACATGGGGCCAGTGGAAAATACTTCTAATTAATAACAATGCTCTAGACCTCACACACACACACACACACACACACACACACCCAAAAACCAGCAGCTGCATTCTCAGAAAAAAATAGTTGAATTGAGTCCTCTGAAGGGAGGGGAATAGGCAGAAGCAATGGAAACTTACCAAAACAAAAGATGCCAGGTAATGAGGAAGAGCTTAGATAAAGAAATGCACCTGAACAGTGAACAGGCAAGAAGAGGAAAAGTGAGGCAGGAAGATCAAGATCCCAGAAACTTGGGGAAGGGCTCCAGGAACAAAAAGTCACTCAGCAGCTATTGCCTTGTGAGATGAAGGGCCAGGCCTGCTTTCCCAAGCCCAGACCTTGTATTCTGACTAACCTAAAGATTTGGATTCCAGCCCAAAGAATGACCTGGGGTGATGAGGAAGTTGAGGCCAGGACATGAGTTTTGTATAATTTGTACTCTCCTGTGCTTTATATGAGAAAGTAGAAAAGTGCATAAACATATCACTCTGCACCAAGTATGCTTTACAACAACTGCATACTCCATGAGGGTTAAATGGTAATCCAAAGACATGCGAACCACAATTTATTTGGGGGTCAATCATAACAAGAAGAAATCTACTCAGAGCCAGGTTCCAAAATACCCATACTCACATTCTGTAGTAGGATCACTCTTCAAGCAGTCTCCCATTGGTTTCAATGACTTGGCCCTCAGTTTGGAAGTTCACATCTGAAGGGAAATTATTAAATCCTAAACTAACATTTATGGGTCATCTAACAGTAGTGTTATTTTGTAATAACTCATTATTCTGAAATTACATAGTCCACATCTACACTACAAGCCATTATTTCAAAATAATGACAAGCTGGAGGACTTCTTACTCCGACTCATTTCACGAGGAGTAAGAGAAGTCAAAGGAAGTGTGTTCTTCCTTCTATTTCCTTCTGTGTAGACAGCGCCAAAAGCAGAGTTAAGCTATTTCAACTTCACGTACACAACTGACATAGCTGAAATTGCGTAGCTTAATTCAACTTTAGCCCTGCTGTGTAGACGTGCCCCTTCTGACTTCAGTGGAACTGGAGGTATTCTGCTCATATACTTAATTCTTTTGCAGGATTGGGTCTTTATTGTACAACTTCTTTCCACTTACTAACTATAATGAGGGTCCATACAAAGCACTGATGAACTTGGATAGCAAGATTCCAAATTTTATTAACATTAGTTGTAATATTTCATAGGGGACTTACAAAGATTTGCCAATGCCAGGGCTGCTGACAGAATTGCTGGGGCCCTAAGCAAGGTGAAGGCAGTAGCTCAGGGCTCCCAGAAAGGGTGGGGCCTCAAGCAGAAGAGGCAGTAGACTAGCCTTTCCCCACCAGCCTTTCAGCACTGTCTGGCTTCTGCCACCTGGGGCTCTGTGGCAGTGATTCTAAGGGCTCAGGGCTGCTGCTTCTCCTCCCCTGTTGGCAGCCATGGATGCTTCATGCTGCTGCAGCTGGCCCAGCCAGTGATTAAATCGCCTTGGTTTAAAAGAGGCAGGTGGCCCCAGGGCTTCCTCCCACAGCTGCCACCATGCCGCACAGCACCACTAGCACTATGTAAAAGTGACTAGCATCTCCCAGTTGCTGCAAACATGCAACGGCCCCAAGAGCACTGGGCCCCTTCAAGTTTTTTGGGCCCCTGGGCAATTGGCCTCCATTGTCCCATCCTCCATCAGCAGCCCTGGTCAATACTTCTCACAGAGAGATGCCTATCAAAGCAAGTCAATGACACAGATTCATCAGTTCTAAGATCAAAAGGGATTATTATGGTCATCTACTATGGCACAGGCCATGGAAATGACCAAAATAATTCCGAGATCATGTCTTTTAGAAAAACATCCAGGAAAGAATGTCCACAAGGACGAGGAAAGGCAAGGAATGTTTCTTCAAGGGTAAGAACCTGACAGAGCTTATCCTGAAGAACACAATTTTAATCTCGGTTCAAGTACATAATTCAACTACTTTTTTCTGGTTTAGATAGTTTGAAAATACTTGCGCCTTGCAATTGGAGAGGACATGAAATTTTAGGGATGTTGACTGACTGAAAACAAATCATGTTTTTTTTTCTCCAATTGAGTTTATGCAAAATCACCTGATCTTAGTGCTCAGCATTATTTTTCTGCTTGCATTAGAAAGACGGCAAAATATTGTGAGCAAATTTGCTGACAATTGTATACAGTTTCTTTTACAAAACGAGGAGTCCCGTGGCACCTTAGAACCTCACAGATTTATTAGGGCATACGTTTTTGTGGGTAAAACACACCCATGAAAGCTTATGCCCTAATAAATCCATTAGTCCCTAAGGTGCCACCGGACTCCTCATTGTTTTTGCAGATACAAACTAGCTAGCCCTCTGAGACTACTTCCTGTTCCTAAGAAATAGACAGAGAAGGTCCTTTATTCTTTGTAACATAATCTAATGGGTGCCACACCCCCAAAACGTCAAGCAGATTTGAACAGTACATGCATAAATAAAGTGTTATATTGACCCAGGACACTTCTGAATAAGTGAATCAACATAGAATGAAGGACACAAAGAGCTGAGTGTTCCTTAGCAGCATCTAGGTTATCAGAAAAGCAAATAAATAGAGATTAGCCAACATAAAAGTTCAACAGATGTCCAAAATGCACTCTAGACATAATGGGATAGTCAGGCTAGGGCCCAGCTTCACTTTCTGCAGGCATCATTTGTGCCTACAAGTCTCCAATTTGCTCCCACAAAAAATGGAAGACTTTCCTAATTAACAGGTACCTCATCCCCTTATGTTTTTAATAAAGCCTTTGAAACAATCTTTCAATTTCTTCTTTACATCCTCTACAAAGGATGGCCCTGTGGTTAGGGTGCATGCCTAGGACTCAGGAGGCTGGGGATCACTTCCTTGCTCTGACACAGATTTGCTGAGTGACCTTGGGCAACTCATTTAGGCTGCCTACAATCAGAAGCGTAGTTTCCCTACTTATGTACATATACTTGTGCTAGCTTTCACTGAGCTAGCACAAACATAAACAACAGTATTGCCCAGATAGCAGCAGCATGGATCAACCATGCAGAGTATAAACCTTCCTGAAACTGCTGGGAAGGTGCACAGAACAACTAAATCTTGCTGCCCTGCTGCTACACTGCTATTTATACTAGAGCTAGCTAGTGGGAGCTAACATGAGTATGATGGCATGAGGCATACTTTGTGCCTCAGTTACCCACTTACAAAATAGGGAAAATAATACTTCCCTACCTCACAGGAGCATTACAAAGATAAACACATTGAAAACTGTGAGGTTACACATTCCTAGAGACATTCCACGTGATCTGTGGCTTCTGAGTGGACTACAAGAATAGCCCTAAATACATAACCTTGCACTAACCTGTGCTAGAAATGAAAAAGGCATAAATGGGCATTGCTTGGTCCACATCAGACAGGAGTGGCCACATCCTTTTGGCCACTCATTGCTGCAGAAAGGCACTGCAGACCACCACCTTACAGTGTTCCAGCTCCAATAAGACAGAGACTACAAGCCACTTTGGTGAGAGGTGGGAAGTTGGCTGTGCAGAAACTGCCTTCATGCTTCTACTAAGTATTTCCCATTGACAAGAGCACCTTTTCCATATGGCTGAGTCACAGCAAGTGTGCGTTCAGTTAGGATCCTAACCCTGTCAGAGAATAGGAGGGCCGTGAGACAACAGAATTTCAGTTTAATGAAAAGGAGAAAGGCTTCCCTCTTCATCACTCCCCAGTGATGTAACAGCTGTAAAAAAAAAAAAAAAAAACTCAGAC